CTGTAGTCCTGAGCACTGATACTCAATGGATTTAGCACATAACTCCCATTTATTTTCAACGGTACTTAGGCACCTGCTATGTGCCACTGAAAGTCTTTTCTAAGATGCTTAATTTAAATTACACAATTACATCACATTCAGACATGCAGTACCAGCCTCATGCACTAGACAGCAGAAATATCTCAAAAGTAAAGAAGTATGCTTTAGGGCTGTGGTTCTCAACCTTTCTAGACCCAAGATGCCCCTCATTTGGCTTGAGGCACCCCTCCATAACTTTTGTGAATTGAGCAGCAAACATTTAAAAAGCTAATGTATTTATTATAGTGCTTACATCTTAGTAGAGGGGCCACACCATGAGGGCAGGGCAGTGGCCAGGCATGGAGGAACTTAAGTCTGCATTTATTTCCTCTCACCTGTCTGCACCCTTCAAAAGCTTTCATGACAACCCAGGGTGCTTGGTACTCTGGCTGAGAATCACTGCTTTAGGGTTTCAGTGGCCGTAATCTGATCCCAACAATGAAATTTTTTAAAATGCGTTGTTAGACAAAAACTTGTCACAGAACATATTCCAAATATTAGGGGACTATGTGGCCTTTATATGTCTAAGTGCAATCTTGTTATACCCTGCTCGAGTCCCTGAAGAATTGTTATCATCACACCTGCTCTTGTATTTTGTCTTCATCTTAGCCATAATGCTAAGGCAGAAAAGAGCAGTGAGGAAGAGGAAAAGGACTCATCTACCTGGTGCATTAAGGATTTTTCTGGGGCTCAGGCGTGATGGAAAAGGATTCCATTTGGATGTCTAATAGAGTAAACTAATATCATCTTGTATCCTGTAGCTCCATCTCTATTTACACTTCCAATATTTTAATCCTGAAAATATATTCCATGCTCCTGTGATGTTTGTATTTACTGTATTTCACATTTTCAAGAAGTGACATACTCTTGCCTGACAAAGAAGGATGGACATCCTGAATCTAGGAGGAAGTAAGATGAGGTGTGGACTACAAGGATATTCAGAGTAGACAGATGTACACCTATATAGCCTTGCCTAAGGGGGGCGATATACAACACACTTACAACAGCGGCATTTACATAGGTTTTGTATGCTGATGATAATCACACTACTTGGAATATGACAGCACCTTGTCACTGCATGGAAGAGTCTGCTGCAACTGGCTAAGATGGCAAACGCATGACACAACCATATTATTTATGGGGTATTTTAGGTGACTTAAGCCACTGGCCCATAATCTTTACAAGCTGTGGCCAAAAACAAGCTGGCTCCCATCTGATATCGGTCCGGGAGTTTCAATGGCACATCAGTGGCAGAGAAGGCTTTGCCTGTCCCAGTGCCAGACTATGGCACAGGCCCAGTTTCCAGCTAGGGAGGAGCTACACGGGGGCTGAGCAGCTGAAATAAGTGTCCATGCTATTACTGCTTCTCCCACCCTCTGCCTTCTCCCTTGCCTCCCAGCTGCAGTGTAGGCACAGCTCGAAGCTGCCTGGACCTGGCCAGCTTCCCATCAGGTGAAAGCTGTGTCCATGTTGCAGCCAGGGATGGGGACCTGCAACTGCTTGTCCCAGCACAGGTATGGCCACAAAGAAAAACCCTCCAGTTCCTTAGGCCAGCATGTTGCTGACCCCTGACTTATACCGTCATGTATTGTTGTATCTCTGCATCCTTATATATGTACATAAGGGAAATTCAAACCATTGTTCACTAATTAGATGATATATTTTGACCCCAATATAGTTGGCAGTTGGTATTTGAAGAACTGGGTACTAATACAACCTTAAATAGTAACAGACATAAGTGTCTTGCAATGTGCTATGCCAAGGCTTTGAGGGTCTTTTTCATTAAAAATGTAAACAACTCCCCAGTTGCCTTAAAGTAGAAAAATTAAATCTAAGATATTCTCTCTCTCATGCTACGACTGCTTAATAATCAAAAAAAGCAAGCATTCTCCTGTTCCAGGGCCGGTACAGAAAATATTCATGGTCAAAATGAAACTAAGCCAGACTATCAGCAAAGGACTCAGTGGAGAGAGCCAGACTTGCAAGCAATAAATCTGAGTGATTTTTAAAGAAATAACATCTGTCCAGTTTGGCCAAGGACAAGTAACCAAGTATTTTGCCTCACTTGAGGGTTAAAATCCTCCATAAGTTGAGTCACGGCTTTGCAAAATGGAAGACAGCTGTTTCACAGACAATGGGAGATGATCCAGATGACTTGCATTAGTACTCTTATAAATCATACAGTTAGAATCACATCTTAAAAACAAAACACTTTGTGTTGCAGTTTGCCAAAAGAAAACCCAGACTTCTAATAAAAAAGCAGACTTGCTTATTTCCCACAGTAGGTATAAGTGTTCACAGAACCAAGCAGACACTGATCAAAGATAGTCTGAACCATTATCAAACTGCTTTTAAGAATTTCCTCAACCAGCAAATCAAGCTTCACATTTTCAACAAATGCAATAACAACCCCAGCACTTAAGATTAAGCTATGACTAATAAACACTCTTTTGTCTAGCCAACATCACAAAGGGATACTGACTCTCCTTTGTAACAGCTCTTGAAATCCAGCTGTTTGATTCTTCATGTCTCTGCAGACCATTAACATTCAGGGATCACACACAAGCTTGCTTACCATTTTCATTATGCAGGAAGAAGAAAAGACAAGATAGAAAGAACACTACTCCATAGAATGAAAGAGAATAAAAGTATCATTTGGTCAGTAATCCACATCATTACTGCTATTCAGGGAAGTAAATGCTTTAATCAACAGTTTCCATAGTGTCTTCTACTTTCTTTCTCTCAACTCAGAAAGAGATTTTCCTGAACAGAGAACAAACGTGGATTAAAGATCTAGAAATATGTATTTCACATCAACTACGTGTTTTCCTTTAGTCATATTAAGAAACCTAGTAATACTTTCCAGGGATTCTCCTCCTTCAGTCCACTGGAGTTTGTGAGATTATCAACCGCAATTCATTTCCAGACTCACTTATGATCTGAGCCACTGCCAATCGAAACCAGCAAACTCCAGAAGATAAATATCATTGTTATCAATGAGATAATATGGATGGCAGCAATTTAGAAACCTTTTTTACATTATTGGAGAAAATTCCTTCCTGACCCTCACAGAACCTGTACAAATCCTGAGGCATGAGATAACATATCATCACTGTGCTCGTACGTGTGAGCTGTTGTCTGTAATTGCAGAGTTGTCCTTCATTACACTGCAAAACTGTTTGAAAGTCACTTTTGGTAGAGTAAATTATCATTTGACCCCAAACACCATTCTTGGGAGCTCCCATAGTTTGCCAATTCCCTTTCGCACAGCACCAGAAGCATGTGACAACTGCTATTGAAACTATACCAAATATTCTCCGTCGCAGAGCAGTTACGCGCCCCGCTCCTATTAAGGTTTACAAACTTAAGAGGGGAGGTGTGTAGCAGAGCACTAGGGTGCTCGCTACTGGTAATGGTAATAAGGACCCAGCTGCCAGTCTTCAGGGCAGCGCAGGTGAGAGTTGCCAGGGCAACCAATTTGGTCAGCTGGCCAGAAGGGGGCAGGGCCTGGCCTTTATAAGCAGCCAGGCTGAGGCCAGAAAGCAGTTCCTCTCTGGTAGCCTGAGCAACAGGAGCAGCGCAGCCTGCCTGCGCGTCTACATGTTAGTACGGGGTGGAGAGAACCCTGATAGGGAAGTAGGAAGGAGAGCCAGCGTGGCGCAGAAGTTATGTTACAGCCAGGAGGCTTATTTTGTGTTATAGCCGGTTGGCTCATGGCTTTGTGTTTTCTGTTTGTCATTGTTACACCAGAGGACCAGGCGAGGCTGTAGGGGTTGGAGGAGGCCTCAGGGGAGCTTCCCAGTAGTGTGGGGGTTCCTGGCGTCCTGGGAGGGCACAGCCACCGGGTGCTAGAGAGGGCACCATGGTTTGGCGCTGGAGAGTGGCGCTGCATGTGGGGGTGTCCTGACCCCAGCCCAGTGGGGGTGACTTCACGAGGAGCTAGTGAGATGTCCCGACCCCAGCCCAGTGGGGCAGTATCGGGGTAAAGCCCAGGGGGCATAGGACCCGGGAAGGGGGTCTGAAGGCCAGGTTAGGCTGAGGCCGCCTGAGTCCAAGTCTAAGGAGCCCAAGTCGGGCGTAAGACCCGTGAGGAGGGTCAGGGGGCCAGGCACGGCTAAGGCCACCTGAGCCCCGACCACGGGAAGCGCGGGAGACAAAGCCCCAGTGCGGGCGTAAGTGCCAGAGGGGACAGGCCCCAGAGGAGGGGGCGAGCCTATTGAGAGGCCCCAGAAGGGGGCGAGCTACACGAGAGAAGGCCCCAGTGAGGGCGTGTACCCAGAGTAGAGCGCCCCGGTGAGGGCGCATACCCAGAGGAGAGGCTGCAGACAGGGTCCCTAAGGAAGGAACGTAGGACCAGATAACGTCCGGAACAGCTGAGAGGCTTGGGACGTGGTATTGGGGTGGAAGGAGCCACGCAACGTCCATAGGGTTGGGGACACCAGAACCTATTTGTACAGAGGAGGGACCAGAAGGACAAGGACACCGAGTCCAAGGGGTCGAGTAAGGCAGCCTCCCTTTAATATAAAACATCAAAGTCGTGGCGGGCGAGAACGAGGGTGCTAGACAGGCAACTTGGCATGGTAGGGGCACCAGGAGAGATCACAGCCGCTCCTGGGTCCCCGCCCCGTGACATTCTCTTTTCACATGCTCAAACAAGTTAAATTTTTCTCCCATTAAGTTCTCTGTTTTAATGAGAAGAAATAGCTCTTTTACAGCTCTTGTAGCTGTTCCTCTAGAGAGAAAACAAAAGGTACCCTAAACTCCTTCTTAGGTAATTAAAAGAATATTTAAAGTAGCTTGTTTTCTCATTAATCAAAACCCAAATGGGCAAACGTGCTAAGAAGAAAAGGAACTGCAGTAGAAATTAATTCTTCCTATTGAGTATATGCATAAAGACTGCTAAGACAGCTCAAGGCACTTGCCCTATAAATAGTGCCCTATTGTCAGTGTATAAAAAGATGAAGCATTTCTCATAGCACACAAGCATGTCCAATTAAGAGTTAAGCCCTGCCAGTGCTAAAAATGAAAGGCTGCATCAACTCATAATCTAGTCTTGGGGTAGGCATACCACTGGAAAGAGTTCAGTACGTCAGTTAGAGTCTGAACTGCTTTCACTCACTGACATAAAGCAGCAAGTCATTTTTCTGTCTTGGCAATGGAAGGAGTTGTTATAAGACACTGGGTGGAAACACCTGTCCGTTACCAGGAGCAGTTTGCTGACCAAGAGCTGGACGCATATAAGCTGGAGCACTCTTTGTATGCTTTGCCAGGCCCATCCACATCCTCTGTGAGAATCAACAAGCATGTAATTGCAGCAGAGAAAAGCAGCACTGGGGAAAATGAGCAAAGCTTTCAGGTCCTACTGGATGTTGTGCAATTCCGCCCTGAAGATATCATCATTCAGACTTTCGAAGGCTGGCTCCTGATCAAAGCTCAGCATGGACCCAGGATGGACGAACATGGTTTCATATCCAGAAGCTTTACTAGGCAATACAAACTGCCAAATGGAACCGAAACAAAAGATTTGTCCGCTGTCTTCTGTCATGATGGCATTTTGGTTGTTGAAATGAAGAATGCTTCAGGAACGAGTTAATGTTTTATTAATAATCTTTTTCCTCGTGTAACTGTGTAATGCTGTGCAATATAGTCAAGCACTTGGAGTTGTTGGTTTTATTTCAATACAGATAAGAACTAACCTCTGCACATATTTTTTGCTTTGTTGAATTCTTGTTTGATGTGAAATGTAAGATAATCTGCCTCCAGCCATGTATGTGCTAGATGGCTATACTTATTATACAGCAGAAAATACAAAGCAGCTGCAGAAAGTGAAAACTATTTTGGATACTGCTATATGATAAGATATGGAGTACAAAGCATGAATAAAGTGTTGATAAAGAAAGGTTTCATTTGTAATATATATTGACGAGGTAACTAGTTAAAGAACAGCAGATAGCTGGTGAGTTCTGTGAAAATTTAATTTGCATACTAGAAAAATGGCATGTTTGTATTGATTAATATTTAATGTTGAACTCAACATATGTGAGAAGTCTACAACCCACTAGGAAAAAAATCTAGTTTTCAAATGTGTTTTTAATATTCACTTGAAAGTATTTTTTTTCAAAGAAAGGGTGTTATACTTAACAAAATGACATAAACAAGGATAGTTTTTTTGGAAATTCAGTATTTAGAAACATACTACATCTTGTTAATGTCAAGTCAAAGTAACTTGATGCAAAACTTTCAAATCCATTTTTTTTCTAATTTGTAGTGGATTTTTGTTTAAAAGTACCTTCACTGTCTCAGAACAGAAGGAAAATACTGCTTAATAATAAACTCTTAGAAGGACAACATTCATTCTTGTGTGGTGCCACTGATTTAAAGTTATTGCTATGGAAGGATAGGATGAATTTGGCCCTACCCTAAATATAACAAGACTCACGTACTTCTTTTGCATTAGAATTTGAGAGCCCAATCCTGCTGTTCTCAGAGAACAGGTGCTTCTTCTAACATTCAAATCTATTGGCTTTACAGCAGAAGAAGGATCCACATGTATGTGTCTAATTGCATGGCTGGGGTCCCTTTAAAGAACAAAGGGCTGTTTTCTGTTCCCAGTTATACCTGAGAAATCTAACTCATTTCAATGGAGTTGCACAGCTGTCAGAAATCTACCCACTGTACCTAACATCTGGTCTTCAATATTTTAGAAAAGTTTGCTACAAAGGGTACTGTAAATATGCCAGCATTCTAGAGAAACTACAGCTGCAAGTGGAACTGCCTCCTGTTATGCATACTTAAGATAAGCATGACTGCTGGGCTATGAATAGTAAAGGAATGCAGTGAGGAAAGTGCCAAGCTAAATGCAGATACTTTATGACAGGCATCTGCTGCTTGGACAAATTAAAAACATTTTCATATGCAATCAAAGATCAATACAATTCTCAGTAAATGAATTCAACAGACACAAATAGTTAGATTAACATAAATGTTTCTCCTACAAGGTGAAGGAACAAGACTGCTCTAGTAACTTGAGTCTAGTTTATAATGAAAGCACTATGTGTGGGTGTGGACACCTATGCATGCTATGGAAATGTTTACATTGGTGAACAATGACGGTAAGGACACTTTAAAGCAACAAGTTGTACAAAGAAAATAGGCCAAATCCCGTGTTTCTTTTTCAATTCAACAGCAATTTGATTTGCGTGAGGAATACAGGCTCAGATCCTCCTCCTCCAGCTTGCTGCACACTAAATTGCAGGATCTGGATTTACATGTGGTGTTTTCTGACTAGTGAACACTTCGCTTCCTTATTGTCAAAAGCCAAAGAAAACAGATGCAAGAGAAATACCACAGTGTTTCCCTGCAGCCTTCTCCTCTTCCCACAGTTGCCTCTATTTATAGACTGGAAGGAATCAGAAAACTTCAGCTACAAAATTTAGGTGTGTATCCATATTCCAAGCATTTCAAAGTCCAGGAACCTTCAGATGCAAAGATTTAGTTTGAGCCCAGGATACAGATTAGGACCATTTGCAAAGTTTAGATATAAATCAGGGCTTATATTTCAAATACAAAGTTTGCAACACTTAAGCAAGTTAGGATCTGGGCTTTCTATACCACTTGGCTTCAGAAATATTCCAATGTTTCAGGATCATCTACAGAAGTAACCATCTGTACTGCTTCTCAACCTTTGATTCATTCTCTGTCTTCTCTTTGACTTTGCACAGAATGGTTAATACATTAAATCAGAGTTGGCCAACTTCTAAGCAGGTGGGGCCACACCAGCATGGACAATATGCTCCCCAGGCTGTACACTGCCTGAATTAACCCTCCCCACAACACTATGGGCCCCCACACATATGCGCACACTGTCTCTTCTGCCCCTCCTGCATTTGTCTTGCAGAAAAACAGAATTAGCTGCAATTGTTACCCCCACAGAGGTGCTGAGTATGTGGGGGCCCGAGGGCCCTGCCCTCCCTCAGGAAGAGGGCTGTCACTGAAACGAGTAAAACTTTCCACATGCCCATCACCTTAGCCCCTCTTCCTCCCCTGAGAAACATATAAGTTGCCGCCCTTGCACCCACATCTGTTATTCTCTAAAAATAAAATCAGCATAAAAATAATGGTGGCACAAGTCAGGAGTAAGCGCACTGAAATCACTACAGTTACACTAGTATAAGATCAGCTTGTCAAGCAAATGTTATACTGTGCTGGAAAGCACATTAAAGGAGTCACTACACCCCTGCATAGTGTTCCAGTAAGCAGGGGACCATTGCCAATAAAAAAACCTCCTTTGCCTTATAATCACATATGCTTTTCTATGGCTTTGCTCTTTTCTTCACTGTAAGTACCAATATTTTGTCATTCTGACCTCAGAACATACAGTGGGCACTAGGGTATTAGACATGAAGTCAAAGGGATTGGTCAGTATTTTCTAACACATTGACTCCCTAGCTTTGCCACCCTGTGTCAAGTGCTATCACTTACTGTAATAGCAGTACTTTTTTTTGTAGAATCCCAGTTCCATGAGTGAGTGAATTATTTGAGAATCTTGGCTTTCCTTTAAAAATGAAAGAATCTGGATTAAACTAATTCAGGAACAATGGTATTATTCCGGAAGAGGGCATTACATACTGGAGTTATAGAATAGCTTGTGTGTAAGCAAGTCCTGCAATCTAGACAATACTGTACTGTAAAATAAGATGCGGAATCTGAGAAGGGCAACAAGGTTTGCCTTTGAAAGAGGGCCTAATACTGCACTTGCTAAGCCCATATAAATCACTGGAATTATACTACCCTAAAAAGAGATGCAATTAGAGAGCTGTACAATATACTAGTGAGAGGAACCCTTTATGTATGATCCAGATATCAGCTTCCAGATCTATGAACCACTGTCTGATATTATTGCTCAATGTGCTGATTCTGTCTGCCCCATCTGGGTATTTTTAAAGAATGCAGCTTTCAATTAAGTGCTGTGCTGTTTGCTGGATACTGCATTCACACAGGAGGCTGTCCAAGATGTTCATCTTGTTATTTTGAAGTGTCTATATCCAGATCTCAGTTTGTTCAGCTTGATGCACACTTCTTGTCAAGGTCGTGCCCAATGGGGGACTCATTTGGTATTGGTATAAAACACTGTAGGAATAAGTCTGGACCTTCCCAGCAGTAAGCCCACCCTGTTCCTACCCACAGGTTTGGTTTAGCATCCCCAACTTTTTCCAGGAACTGATGGGCATCATGTATAAATGGTTTATTACTTTGAAGCCTCTTAAGCCTCCATCTATTCATGTCTTCAGTTAACAGTTGATGAAGCAGGTAATTTTCATCATCTCTTGCCAGTAATGACATTAGGGTCTGCCTTCTAATATCTCTTGGTATAATGCCTGAGAGTACAAGGAGTACATCTGTGGTGTGTGTAAATTTTGCAGACTAAGTCTAAATGCACTGTAAAGTGCAGCGTTGAACTTTTAGTGTGAGAACTTCTGGGCCACACAGGAGCACAATATTCTGCTGGGGCATCTACTATTGCAAGCCCAGGGTTCTGAGCCCTTTAAAGCTGGTACTCCATGTTGTGCTGTCTAAACATCTTAAGGCAGCTACCCATGCAGAGACTGTACTGCTGACCTTCTGAATGTAATATTTATAGGTGAGAGAATGGTCTAATGCAACTTCTAGGTAGATTGGGGTATGTTTCATAGTTTCTAGGGTCGGAAGGGACCTGAGAAGATCATCTAGCCCGACCCCCTGCCATGGCAGGAAAGAGTACTGGGGTCAAACGACCCCAGCAAGGTGTTCATCTAACCTCTTCTTAAAACCCCCCAGGGTAGGAGCCTGTACCACCTCCCTTGGAAGTTGGTTCCAGACTCTAGCCGCCCTGACCGTGAAATAGCGCCTTCTGATGTCTAACCTTCTGATGTTCATGTGGAAGGATGCGGTTGCCTTCTCTTCTGTATGCCCTTGGCTTGAAAATTGTCCAAGTGGAAGAGTGATGATACTGATATCTTGATGCTCACCTTTAAGTACCACTTGCGGAGATAGTCAGTGATGAGTTCCATGTCAGTACATTAATTACACTAAAGAACAGGGGTATAACTGGAGGCAACTGTAGCACACAGGAGCCTCTGTTCCTAACCAACTGCCCTCAGCCAGTTCTCTCCAACCAACATGATTACTTTTGTACAAGCCTCTTAGGCTAGGGACAGACATTCAAAAAGGCCAAAGCCTGAATTGATTCAATCTTTCCAAGTTAGTCTAACCTGTCCAGCTTCAACCAATTTGCAAGTGAATAGACGTTCATGCCTGCAGTGGCTCAGGCCAGGAGCTGGGGGGTGCTTGAGCAGCCCTCAGCTGCAGGGAAGCTGGGAGGGGGAGGGAGGCAGAGAGGGAGCATGGCCATCCCTGGCAGTAGCTTGAAGTGAACTAGCCAGAGAGAGGGTTTAATTCCTTCACCCTGTCTCACTGGCATGGACTTGGGCCGCGGTCAACCACATGCTCCCCCCTCACTGCTGCAGCGCTGGGGCCAGAGCACGGACAAATACCAGCCAACATGACCCCTGAGGCAGAGGGGGCAGGTAGGGGGCATTATTCCCTCTCTACCCACACTGCCCCGAGGGACTGCAGTGGGGCATGCCTGCCACAACCACCACCGATGCTTGAGCGCTCCCTG